CAGCACAGGGGTTTCCATTTTTATTTGTTTATGTAGTGTGTGTGTGTGTGCATATGCATGCACTCACAGCACAGGGGTTTCCATTTTTGTTTATGTAGTATGTGTGTGTGTGCATATGCATGCACTCACAGCACAGGGGTTTCCATTTTTATTTGTTTATGTAGTATGTGTGTGTGCATATGCATGCACTCACAGCACAGGGGTTTCCATTTTTATTTGTTTATGTAGTGTGTGTGTGTGTGTGCATATGCATGCACTCACAGCACAGGGGTTTCCATTTTTATTTGTTTATGTAGTGTGTGTGTGTGTGCATATGCATGCACTCACAGCACAGGGGTTTCCATTTTTGTTTATGTAGTATGTGTGTGTGTGCATATGCATGCACTCACAGCACAGGGGTTTCCATTTTTATTTGTTTATGTAGTATGTGTGTGTGCATATGCATGCACTCACAGCACAGGGGTTTCCATTTTTATTTGTTTATGTAGTGTGTGTGTGTGTGTGCATATGCATGCACTCACAGCACAGGGGTTTCCATTTTTGTTTATGTAGTGTGTGTGTGTGTGCATATGCATGCACTCACAGCACAGGGGTTTCCATTTTTATTTGTTTATGTAGTGTGTGTGTGTGTGTGCATATGCATGCACTCACAGCACAGGGGTTTCCATTTTTATTTGTTTATGTAGTATGTGTGTGTGCATATGCATGCACTCACAGCACAGGGGTTTCCATTTTTATTTGTTTATGTAGTGTGTGTGTGTGTGTGCATATGCATGCACTCACAGCACAGGGGTTTCCATTTTTATTTGTTTATGTAGTGTGTGTGTGTGTGCATATGCATGCACTCACAGCACAGGGGTTTCCATTTTTATTTGTTTATGTAGTATGTGTGTGTGTGCATATGCATGCACTCACAGCACAGGGGTTTCCATTTTTATTTGTTTATGTAGTGTGTGTGTGTGTGCATATGCATGCACTCACAGCACAGGGGTTTCCATTTTTATTTGTTTATGTAGTATGTGTGTGTGTGCATATGCATGCACTCACAGCACAGGGGTTTCCATTTTTGTTTATGTAGTATGTGTGTGTGTGCATATGCATGCACTCACAGCACAGGGGTTTCCATTTTTATTTGTTTATGTAGTGTGTGTGTGTGTGCATATGCATGCACTCACAGCACAGGGGTTTCCATTTTTATTTGTTTATGTAGTGTGTGTGTGTGTGTGCATATGCATGCACTCACAGCACAGGGGTTTCCATTTTTATTTGTTTATGTAGTATGTGTGTGTGTGCATATGCATGCACTCACAGCACAGGGGTTTCCATTTTTGTTTATGTAGTATGTGTGTGTGTGCATATGCATGCACTCACAGCACAGGGGTTTCCATTTTTATTTGTTTATGTAGTATGTGTGTGTGTGCATATGCATGCACTCACAGCACAGGGGTTTCCATTTTTATTTGTTTATGTAGTGTGTGTGTGTGTGCATATGCATGCACTCACAGCACAGGGGTTTCCATTTTTATTTGTTTATGTAGTGTGTGTGTGTGTGTGTGCATATGCATGCACTCACAGCACAGGGGTTTCCATTTTTATTTGTTTATGTAGTGTGTGTGTGTGTGTGCATATGCATGCACTCACAGCACAGGGGTTTCCATTTTTATTTGTTTATGTAGTGTGTGTGAGTGCATATGCATGCACTCACAGCACAGGGGTTTCCATTTTTATTTGTTTATGTAGTGTGTGTGTGTGTGCATATGCATGCACTCACAGCACAGGGGTTTCCATTTTTATTTGTTTATGTAGTGTGTGTGTGTGTGCATATGCATGCACTCACAGCACAGGGGTTTCCATTTTTATTTGTTTATGTAGTGTGTGTGTGTGTGCATATGCATGCACTCACAGCACAGGGGTTTCCATTTTTATTTGTTTATGTAGTGTGTGTGTGTGTGTGCATATGCATGCACTCACAGCACAGGGGTTTCCATTTTTATTTGTTTATGTAGTGTGTGTGTGTGTGTGTGCATATGCATGCACTCACAGCACAGGGGTTTCCATTTTTATTTGTTTATGTAGTATGTGTGTGTGTGTGCATATGCATGCACTCACAGCACAGGGGTTTCCATCTTTGTTTATGTAGTGTGTGTGTGTGTGTGCATATGCATGCACTCACAGCACAGGGGTTTCCATTTTTATTTGTTTATGTAGTATGTGTGTGTGTGTGTGCATATGCATGCACTCACAGCACAGGGGTTTCCATTTTTATTTGTTTATGTAGTGTGTGTGTGTGCATATGCATGCACTCACAGCACAGGGGTTTCCATTTTTATTTGTTTATGTAGTGTGTGTGTGTGTGTGCATATGCATGCACTCACAGCACAGGGGTTTCCATCTTTGTTTATGTAGTGTGTGTGTGTGTGTGCATATGCATGCACTCACAGCACAGGGGTTTCCATTTTTATTTGTTTATGTAGTGTGTGTGTGTGTGTGCATATGCATGCACTCACAGCACAGGGGTTTCCATCTTTGTTTATGTAGTGTGTGTGTGTGTGCATATGCATGCACTCACAGCACAGGGGTTTCCATTTTTATTTGTTTATGTAGTATGTGTGTGTGTGTGTGCATATGCATGCACTCACAGCACAGGGGTTTCCATTTTTATTTGTTTATGTAGTGTGTGTGTGTGCATATGCATGCACTCACAGCACAGGGGTTTCCATTTTTATTTGTTTATGTAGTATGTGTGTGTGTGTGCATATGCATGCACTCACAGCACAGGGGTTTCCATCTTTGTTTATGTAGTGTGTGTGTGTGTGTGCATATGCATGCACTCACAGCACAGGGGTTTCCATTTTTATTTGTTTATGTAGTATGTGTGTGTGTGTGTGCATATGCATGCACTCACAGCACAGGGGTTTCCATTTTTATTTGTTTATGTAGTGTGTGTGTGTGCATATGCATGCACTCACAGCACAGGGGTTTCCATTTTTATTTGTTTATGTAGTGTGTGTGTGTGTGTGCATATGCATGCACTCACAGCACAGGGGTTTCCATCTTTGTTTATGTAGTGTGTGTGTGTGTGTGCATATGCATGCACTCACAGCACAGGGGTTTCCATCTTTGTTTATGTAGTGTGTGTGTGTGTGTGCATATGCATGCACTCACAGCACAGGGGTTTCCATCTTTGTTTATGTAGTGTGTGTGTGTGTGTGCATATGCATGCACTCACAGCACAGGGGTTTCCATCTTTGTTTATGTAGTGTGTGTGTGTGTGTGCATATGCATGCACTCACAGCACAGGGGTTTCCATTTTTATTTGTTTATGTAGTGTGTGTGTGTGCATATGCATGCACTCACAGCACAGGGGTTTCCATCTTTGTTTATGTAGTGTGTGTGTGTGTGTGCATATGCATGCACTCACAGCACAGGGGTTTCCATTTTTATTTGTTTATGTAGTGTGTGTGTGTGCATATGCATGCACTCACAGCACAGGGGTTTCCATCTTTGTTTATGTAGTGTGTGTGTGTGTGTGCATATGCATGCACTCACAGCACAGGGGTTTCCATTTTTATTTGTTTATGTAGTATGTGTGTGTGTGTGTGCATATGCATGCACTCACAGCACAGGGGTTTCCATTTTTATTTGTTTATGTAGTGTGTGTGTGTGCATATGCATGCACTCACAGCACAGGGGTTTCCATTTTTATTTGTTTATGTAGTGTGTGTGTGTGCATATGCATGCACTCACAGCACAGGGGTTTCCATCTTTGTTTATGTAGTGTGTGTGTGTGTGTGCATATGCATGCACTCACAGCACAGGGGTTTCCATTTTTATTTGTTTATGTAGTGTGTGTGTGTGTGTGCATATGCATGCACTCACAGCACAGGGGTTTCCATCTTTGTTTATGTAGTGTGTGTGTGTGTGTGCATATGCATGCACTCACAGCACAGGGGTTTCCATTTTTATTTGTTTATGTAGTGTGTGTGTGTGTGCATATGCATGCACTCACAGCACAGGGGTTTCCATTTTTATTTGTTTATGTAGTGTGTGTGTGTGTGCATATGCATGCACTCACAGCACAGGGGTTTCCATTTTTATTTGTTTATGTAGTGTGTGTGTGTGTGTGTGCATATGCATGCACTCACAGCACAGGGGTTTCCATCTTTGTTTATGTAGTGTGTGTGTGTGTGCTGTGCATGCACTCGCATGGTTGGCTGTCAGAGGACAACTTGTGGGCATCAGTTCTCCCCTTCTATCACGTGGGTCCTGGGGATGGAACTTGGGTTGTCAGGCTTGGCAGCAAGCACCTTTACCCTCTAAGCCGTCTCTGACCCTATTTCAGGTGTTGTTACTGTTGTTTTAAACCCTGAACTTGGTAGTCAGCTGTGGTGATGCATGACCGTAATCCCAAGGCTCGAAAGGCTGGGACAGAAGGATTGTCATGAGTTTAAGGCCATGGCTGGGCTACATAGCACTAGGCCAGACGGGATTACATAACAAGGCTTTGTCTCAAACAAAACAGAACCGAAACAGCCCTGAAGTTGGTGTAGGGAGAAAGATGTAGTCGAGTGTCTGTCTGGTGGGCAGTGGCAAGCACTGGTGTAGAGGAGGGGATTCCAGGGATCAGGCGTCTCGGGGGTTTCTAGAGGTCAGTGGTCTTGGTCAGCCTTGGGCCAGCGTCCTGCCTATGGTCCTCTGTCTTCAGGAAGCCCCAGCCAGGTTGAGCAGATCACAGCTGTCTATGACATTGTTTTGGATCGTCGGAAACAGACTTAAATAGACACGAATGGAGGTCTCAGGGCTGCCATTCTCTGGGTGTCCATGCCAATGTCTGACTTCCCAACACCTGGCTACAGGGCCTGGCTCCTTAGGACCCAGGTGCCATTCCTCCCCTGTCTCCCTGGTGAAGATCTAGGAAGGCCTCCACAGTTGTGATGTCACCCAAAGCCATCCTTCGACTAATGAGTGCCCTGACTGAACATTGCCACTGTTGGTTCCAGGTCGGGCTGGTGTACATGTTTAACCTCATCGTTGGCACAGGCGCGCTCACCATGCCCAAAGCATTTGCCTCCGCCGGGTGGCTTGTCAGTCTTGTCCTGCTGGTATTCCTGGGCTTCATGAGGTAAGAGCTGTGGTAAGAGCTATGGGGGGGGTGCTGCCACGTTCTTGGGCTGGGGACAGAACTGGAGGAAGAGGCAGGAAATTTGCTGTTTTCCATACATGTAGGGAAGTAGGTCCTAAACTAGTTGGCCCAGAGGAAGGAAAATGGATCCAAGGGTCACCAGGGCCTCCTGCTAACAGAACAACTATACAGCCCTGAGCAGTTGAGCCAGGACACCAGCGAGGCCTTGGGCTATCTCACAAGGTTCTGGCCAGCTAGTCCAGTAAGACTCAGTTTCTCCACTGTCTTTTTATCTCTGTGACCATCATCAGTCCTTGTTCTCTGAGCAAACAGCACCTAGCCACTGAAGAGGAGTCTAGCAGACCTTACGGCTGGCTGGAGAATCAGCTTGCAGTTTAGGATTTGCTTCAAATAATTCACCAAGTAAATGAAAAGCACCCAGGCACACACATGTACACACACACACATGAATACATACATGCATACATACATATGGATATATACACCCCCACACACATACATGTATATACGCATGCACATACACACATACAGGGGCAGTCGGTTTTTTAAGGACCTGTCTTGTGTCCACCCCACCTGCCCAGGCCTTCAGGAACACTTGCTTTGTCAACCAGATGTTGGCAGGGGCAGCAGCTGGTACCCCAGAGCAAACAGCCACCTCTCAGGGACTCCAGTATCACTCAGAAGTCCCATGACAGTGGGACTTCAGAGGCAAGTCCACCCCCTCCACCAGGTAGGAATCCATGTTAAAAACCTGGGAGTGGGTGCCGGAGAGATGGCTCGGCAGTTCGGAGCGCTTGTTGCTCTTGCTGAGGACCTGGGTTCGGTTCCCAGCATCTGCACACAGCCTTCTACAATTCCAGCTCAGGGGATCCAATGCTCTCACCTCCATGGGCAATGCAGTTTTTATGGTGCACGTGTATACAAGCTGGCAAAACAAAACCATAAAAAATAAAATAGATAAATCTTATAAAACAGAAGGGACCCCGGTGGGGTGGTGCACACACGTAATCCCAGCGCTGGGGGGCTGGGAGCAGCTGCAGGACGATCAGGAGTAGAAGGTCGTCCTCAGCTACAGAGTAGACACCGCCCCTAAAAAGAGTGGGAGGGAACTTGGAGGCACCTCTGAGGAGCGCCTCCCCTGAGACACAGCACTTCTCCACACCACACGAGGAGGTTGGGACTTTAAAACAAAGACCTCTCTGCCTTCTCCGACCACGTCATGGGTGGGGACAGAGTAGGGAAGGCCACCCAAAAATTGTAGAGCAAGTTGCAAGTTGATAAGAGAAAAAGATAAAGCATAGCGGAAGAGGGGGCTGGGGAAGTGGGGGACTGCGCATTTGAGTAGGGGGTGTGGGTGCGGGAGGGGCTGCAACACATCAGAGGTTTGAGGGGAGGGTGCCGTGAAAGAATGAAACAAAGGTCAAGTTGGAGGAAACAGACCCAGAAGAGGCTCATGGGAGGGGACCACACCCAGGGTTTTGGGTTTCTCTGTGTGCTTATTTCGGGGAACCTTGGGGTGAGCCTCAGAGTGCTGTTGGCTCATTATGTGCTTCGTGCCCTGGTCCTCGTTGTTATGTCACTGTGTCCCCTTTAAAGGCCCTTCAGCAGGGGCAGCCGTCTGAATGGGAAGTGATTGTTGGAGGCCTCCAGGTAGGGGCCACCATGCCCGTCCTGCTAAGCCCATTTATGTTTGAGTGTGATCAATGAGTTGACTTTGTGCAACTGTAAAAGCTTTCTTATGTCTAATTGAGATTGATTTCAGTTTTACCTCCAATAAGACATGGACATGTGGAGTCCTTAGAAGATCCAGTCAGGCAAGATAATGAGAGCCCTTTCTGGGGCTTCTTCAGGCTTGACTGCCCACCTCCTGTCCCTTACCCTCTGGTGGAGGGCAGGCTAACTCTGAGCAGCTCAGCAGGCCCTTTCCCACCTGACTACAGGGCTGAGCGCTTACTGCTCGCTGATTGGAGGGTGTGGGGACACAGCTGTGCTGGCCTCAAAAGCAGGGAAACAGATGTTGGCCCAAGTAGATCTGTGCCCAGGGCCACAGCCGCTGAAGGCAGCACCCTGCGTCTCCTGCGTCTACTGCGTCTACTGCATCTCCTGCGAATGGGGGCATAGTGCATTCTGTCTGCCCTATAGGCTGTGGGCAGGTGTCTGGTACCATTCCCAGTCTCCCTTTAGAGACCAGGAACACAGGCTTATTTAAAGGTGAGCCACATTATTTAGATAATGAAAGTGCTGGCAAAGGAAAAGGGGCTGATTTCAGAGTCGAGATGCATCTCCAGCCGTCCATCCCCATGGCCCTCACGTTAACGTGTAACAGAAAGCTGGCCGCTGGTCTGTGTTTTCGCGAGAAGTGAAAGTTGCCTGCTGTCCATCCAGAAGCTCTGAGAGGCCCCACTGTGAGTCAGCCTGCCTCCTCCCAGCGCCACTTTAGCACCGGCCCCAGGAGACCCCTTCTGAGTAGCAGTGCTGCGTCACCCACATGTCACTCCACCCCAGCTTGAGTAGCCACCCACTGTCCTAGCTGGGGTCACCATTGCTGTGGTGAAACACTGACCAGAACAAGCTGGGGGAAGGGTTTATGTGGCTCACACTTCCACATCACTGTCCATCACTGAGGGGAGGTGGGACAGGAGCTCAGCAGGGCAGACGCTTGGAAGCAGGACAGGAACTCAACAGGGCAGGAACTGGAGGCGGGGGCTGATGCAGAGGCCATGGAGGGGCGCTGCTTACAGACTGCTCCCCGTGGCTTGCTCACCCTGCTTTCCTATAGAACCAGCCCAAGGATGGTGTTACCCTCAGTGGGCTGGGTCCTCCCCAATCAGTACTAATTAAGAAAGTGTCCTATAGGGGTCTGGAGAGATGGTTCGGAGGTTGAGAGCCCTGGCTGCTCTTCCAGAGGATTCGGTTTCAATTCCCAGCACCCACGCGGCAGCTCGCACCTGTCCGGAACTCCAGTTCCAGGAGATCTGGCACTCTCACACAGACATGCATACAGGCCAAACACCGATGCTCATAAATAAGAATAAACAAAAAGTGTGCTATGGCGGATCTGCAGGCCTTTTCTCATGCAGGTTCCGGCCTTTCCATCAACTCCAGCTGTGTCAAGTTGACATAAAAGCACCTAGCACAGCCCACAGGTTTCTCTCGTCCCCTCTCTCCTGTGCATTGGAGACAGACTCTGGTGTCGGAGGTGACTTTAAGGAAAACAAAGCATGTGCTGTGCGCAGTGACACTTCAGCCTCCTTTTACGTCAGTGTGTGTGAGCGGGCGCGTCCCTGCAGGAATGGGTTTGCTCCTCCCACCGGGTGGGTCCCCGTGATCGGCTCCCATCGTCAGGCTTGGCAGCAAGCACCTTTGCCCACTGAACCGTCTCACTGGCCCAAAACCACGGATTCTGGTCAGGGAGTGCCGTCCCAGAACTTCTGTAGGGAGCAGCTCTCTGAGGAGAGAATGCTGTGGGTTTGTTGCTGCAGTCAGATTGTGCTTCCCCCGCAACCTTTCCATGTCATTAACATGTGGCATCCCCTCAGCTTCCCCCGCAACCTTTCCATGTCATTAACATGTGGCATCCCCTCAGCTTCCCCCGCAACCTTTCCATGTCATTAACATGTGGCATCCCCTCAGCTTCCCCCGCAACCTTTCCATGTCATTAACATGTGGCATCCCCTCAGCTTCCCCCGCGACCTTTCCATGTCATTAACATGTGGCATCCCCCTCAGCTTTGTGACAACCACCTTCGTGATGGAGGCCATGGCAGCAGCCAACGCCCAGCTCCACTGGAAGAGGATGGAGACCCACAAGGTGTGTGCTTACCCTCGTCCCGTTGTGTGCCCAAGGCAGTCTCGGCAAGCTTCCAGGGCCACAGCTAAGTAGCCACATAAAGCCCAAGGGACACACGCGGTGGCTGTTGTCATAGCACTGCAACCTCGTCCCCAACACAGCCGCCTGGAGTTCACTCAGTCACTCTGAGCCTTTGTCCCAGAGACTCTACTGTCTCCACCTTCTGCTATGGCAGGAGTCTCCAAGGGACACCTGGAGAGAATGAGCCAGAAGGCCACTGTTGACTGGGGTTTCTAACACTGTGCACTTAGCTCTCTCTTTGTCTCCTCCTCCTCCTCCTCCTCTCCATTCTACTGTCTCCCAGGAAGAGGAAGACGAAGACTCCTCCACCACCTCAGACAGTGACATCCTCACCCAAGACAACTATGAGCGGGCAGAGAAACGGCCCATCCTGTCTGTGCGTAAGTCCTGGGCTGCTGGGCAAGCTCCACCCGCTCCCACCCCTCACCCCAGTCAGCAGGACTGCCTGTCTCTGTAGAGAGGTTCCTGGGGAGTTTCCCTGCAGACATACTCTGGAGTGTCACTGTAGAAGGGCCGTGGAGTACAGATCCCCCGCTGGCTCCCTGTGTCACTTGACAGTTGCGAGAGCTCTGTGTCCTGCCCTCTGTTACTGAAATAGTCAGGGTCTGCCTGCGTCCATCCACAGGCTTCTCTCCTCATCCTCTCTTACACACCCCACTCCACCCAGCACACACCCTATCTCATTGTCTCAAACCTGTGCTGGTAGAGTTAGGGACACCTGCTGTCCCCATAGGGGCATGCCTGACTCTTAGATTGGGGGCTGGGAATGTAGCGCCTAACCACCGTGCGTGGGGACCCAGCAGTGAGGGGAGAGAAAGTTTCAAGAGTTGGAGAAGCTTGGAGATTGGCTTGTTTTGGAGAATTCCCGCTTGGGGTTCTTCTGATGAACAACCAGGTTCCTCTCTGTTCTGGCCCCACAGAAAGACGCTCATCACCCAACCTTTTTGAAATCACAGACCGGGTGGAAATGGGACAGATGGCTTCCATGTTCTTCAATAAAGGTAACAAGTCAATCAGGGGTGGTGTGCGGGACAGGGGCTCCATGTTGAAGGATAGGGCAGATGGGCAGGAGCAGGGCACCAGAGGAACCAACCGTCTTGCTGCAAGGCCTGACCTGCCCCCCATTACCTTCCTGGGGTACCTCCATGTCCACTGACCCGAAGAATAAGGGTTATCCATCCTACTAGTACAGGTCCTAGGTCACTTTCCAGAGAGAGAAGCCACTGGCACACAGCCGTGGAATTTGCCACACACACCTGTCCCCTCTCAGCCAGCAGAGGGCGCTAGGAGCCCACACTGGAATTGCCCAGGGATCCAGCACTGGGAAGCTGAGGCAACATGCTCCTTCCGGGCGCTGCCTGTTCCTGACTGGCATTTGCTACAACTGCAGGTGTCCACCTGACTCCAGTGTCTGCCAGTGAGCCCTTTCTGCCTCTGTGGTAAATTCTACTTATTTATTTATTTATTTGAAAGTGGGCCGTTTTCAGTGTTTAATATTTGATGCCCAGATCTATCCTGTCCCTGCTTCCTTGGGCACGGAGCATAGCCTCTACGCTTAGAAGATTTTTTTGCTCCTTTGCCAAAGTCTCCCCATTTGCCAAGTGGGGTATCTCTGCCGGTTCCTTCTGGTCCTGAGCGTGGCTGTGGAGAGAGGGGGGGATTGCAGAAATGGGGATCTCCTTGACTTGGGACTAAACACCGAGCACTGAGTTTGTCAGCAGGGGTGTAGACTGGTGACCGGTGCAGGAAGGGTGGTCGTGGGTGCAGGCTGGCCAAGGCTGGCTCCATCGGCATTTCCAGGCCAGCCTGGCAGAGGGTTTCCACAGTTCATCAAAGCCAGCCTGGCTGTGTTCAGGCCCACTCCTCTGCTCCGTCTCCGTCACCCACCATCCACTCAGGGACAGCGCATGAGCATCCCCTCCTGGCAGCCAGAGGTCTCCTCCAAATCCCAGCTTGAAAAACCTACAGTAGCCTTCAGTGGGAGAGCACACGCGTTCTAAACCACTGTGCTCATCAGTATGCTCTGTACCTGTGTGCACATGTTCGTGTGTGTACATGTTCATCTGAGTGTGCGTGCACACGTGTGCATGAGTGGAGAGGCCAGAGGCTGACATCCAGCGTCTCCCTCTCTTTCCTCCTGAGAGTTTAGGCAGGGTCTCACACTGTGAACCTGCAACTCCCCTGTTGATCCACACAGAGTGGCCACGGCTTCGCAGCCCTCTCACCTCCATGTGCCCGCACTCGGGTTGCAGGAGCTTGTCTGGCTTGTTTCTGGGGTCCTGGAGATCTGAACTCGGGTCCCCATGCCCTGCCCTGATTACTTTAAGGTTCCTCTATACCAGTGTTTGTTTGTCTTGTTTGCCCACATCTCCAATAAAGGAGCAGCACCAACTACTGAAGAGCCCCTCCGGTGCCTCCTGCAGGACTTGTCAGGCTGGCACTGGTGACATTGGGCTGGCAACCCTTTGCCATGGCAGCCTGTCCCGAGCACTGTAGGATGATGAGGCAGCATGTCTGGCCTCTGGTTCCAGTATCGCCTCTTGGACGTGACTGTCAAAGCCCCTCAGACGTTGACACTTGTCCTCTGTGAGGGGCGGGCTGCAGACCCACCCCCTACTCTGCCTTGTTAGGTTGTTCTTGTCAGCTTTGGCAGCGCTGCGCCCTCCACAGAAGGCTCCCCAGGGTCCCACACCCACTTCTGTAATTAGAGACGCCAGACCCAGACATTAATGTCCTCTCAGGAAGTCCATTGATCCCCGACTTTGTGTCTAGTAATGAAATTGTATCGATCAAGGAGGGCTGACGGCAGTTCATAAACAGCCAGCGGTGTAGCTGTTGGCGGGTGGCGGAACAGGGGAGAAGGTGATGCCTTCCTTCTCACAGAGACCATGGGCGTCAGAGAGGAAAAGCACCTAGAGCATGGGTCATGAATGACAGACAGCCCAGGGGGCCTCAAGCCACATCAGGGTCAGTTCTCACGAATCAGGTAGAGGAACGACACCTGTCCAGTTTAAAGAGCAGGCGCTGTGCCTGTGCCCTTATGGGTTTTTTAAAAAATTGTTTTTAATTGTTTTCCTGGACACTTTTGTCAGGATTCTGAGGAGCATGGTGACCTCACGTGGCCCAGGACTGATGTGTCCCAGGCTTTCCCCTGGGGACCTGTAGGCTGTTGTGAGCCACCAGGATTAGAAGGGAACTGTCACTTCATTTTTCTTCGTGTCCTCAGAGAAGTCAGGCACTTAAGACTGGTGACATCAGGAACTCGAACACTTTGTCTAAATGCAAGATTGGAGCTGGTTGTCTGGACCATGATCCTTAGGTGCCAGCACGGGCGGCCAGTGCCTAGGCATCAGCTTGGACGTTTGAACCCAAATCCATTTCCTTTTTTATGTTTTTTTCTTTATGTATTTATTTTGTTTGAGGGGACTTGTGGGGGACATGGGACAACCTGCTGAGATTGGTTCTCCCCTCCCACCGCGTAGACTTCAGGGATCAAACTCAGATCCTTAGGCGTGGTGGCGAGCTGAGCCCTTACCCGCCGAGCCGTCTCTCTCGCCCTGCCAGTGTGGATTTGATCGCTCTCTCTGATCTCCAGGCCTCGCCGAGCTCTCTCAGGCACCAGTCCCAGGCTGATGCATCTCCTGCCGGCCTCACAGTGCAGCCAGCTAGAATAAGAAACAGGAATTTGGGGTCATTTCTTTCCACCTTTTATAGAAGGCAAACGGCCTGGAGAACTGAGAGCAGCGGAAACGGCAAAGACTCGGCCGTCAGAAAAGAGCGCAGCCGCGTCTGTCTCTGGCTCCCTGACCTGTGGCTTTGTTGCTTTCAGTGGGGGTCAACTTGTTCTATTTCTGCATCATCGTTTACCTGTACGGAGACCTCGCCATCTACGCTGCGGCGGTTCCCTTCTCCCTCATGCAGGTGACCTGGTGAGTAGCCCCTCATCATCCCCACTTGGTGCAGACCCACGAGCCTCCTCCGCCAGCGGGGCGCAGGCTCTTCTGTGGAAGCACAGCCCTGAAACACCCACGGCCTGAGGCACGGCACACCTGAGGTCCTTCCTTCTCCACGCGAAAGGGGCCAGCTGAGCCCTATGTCCTCACAAGGCGTGCTCTCTGCCAGGCTGTCCCCTTCCTGCTCTATCAAGAAGGTAGCCAGGATTCCCGGCCACCGAGTCACGGTGCTGCATGTACAAGTGCGGCTCGTCCTAGAGACAGTTGATGAAGGGCGGGGGTGCAGGCCCGTGGTGTCTCCTAGTCTAGCGGGGGCCTCTGCTGAGCCAGGCTTGCCGACTCTCTCTTCAGCAGTGTGTCTGGGAACGACTCCTGTGGTGTGGACACAGACGCCAAATACAACGACACTGACCTGTGCTGGGGGCCCCTGGGCCGGGTGGATGCCTACCGGATCTATTTGGTGAGTGTCCTCTCCCGGCCTGGGGCACACCAGGCTGGCGGGGGTGGCGGAAAGTGTTGGAACCACCTTTCTTCTCTGCCTCAGCCCTCCCTCCAGAGAGGAGTGGGACCTGCACACCGCCACACCCTGGCTCGGAGTGGGGTCTTAGCCTCAGGGTCAATGTGGCTTGGAATGGTTCTCCGGGTCCAAGCCAGTAGATTGCTGTGAGCTTGCGCAGTATCAGGGGTACCTGCAAGGGTCTTGTGTTCCAGGGACTTTCCGGGTCTTGGCCTCACTCTAGGCCCACCAGGGCAGGGGCACACCAGCAGGTTCTGGGTCTCGTGAACAGGATAGACAAGACCGGTCCATCTTCTAGGTGACCCTGGCCACAGACAGCCTGTCCAGACGGGTTGGGCTCAGCCCAGCCGTCTTCCTGTCTTCCCGTGGATGAGGGAGAGGATGAATCGCCTGCCTCACTCTTGACTGCTTCGTGCTGTGGCGTGGTGGGGGTGGAGCTGACTAATACTCCAGACAGGCCTCAGATAATAGGACGACAAGGCACCAGAGGCAATTTGTCTCTGCCTGCTTCAGAGGCAGGCTCGGGAGTGTTTCCCTCCAGCGCTTACAGCATCTCTTAGTCCTTTCTGCCCCCACTTGGTTCTTCTCAGCCCTGGCACATGGTCAGGTGTGCTGGATGTCTCTCAGTCCTGGCCGTGGTGGCTTTGCTGGATGTTATGGAGTGAGGAGAGAGCGGAGCAGGGTCTTTCTGTCAGTGGCCTGTTGGCTCGGGTCATCCCTGTCCCAGCTCAGGGCTCCATGGACCCTGTCAGCTGTGTTGCCGGGGTCTGGACTTAGTAATCCCAAGGACTACTGAGTGGGTTTCACCTTTCCAGCCAAGTAGGCTCCCGAAGGACCCTGCAGGCTGGGGTTCAGGAGCTGTGTCTCGTCCGTCTGTGTCCCTGCAGGCTGGGGTTCAGGAGCTGTGCCTCGTCTGTGTTTCTGTAGCTGTCACTCTGTGGTCTATTTCTCTGGGGCATGCAGCCCTCACTAGGACTTAGTGAGCTGTTAGAATTTCATCCTCGATCCTCCTATTGAAAGTCTGTCAGGTATTTGATAGCACGTTGAATCATCTGGTGCCCGGGTCCACCCATGTAGCCGTGCGAGTGGGCACAGGAACCCACCAAACAGGCAGGCGCAAGGGAGAGGTTCAGCTGAGGCTGTGCTGGCCTCTTAGCGTCTCAGTCTGCCTGCCGCGACGGAGCCCTCTGAGTCGGCTCCTCCGCAGGTGTAGGGAGCAGGGGGAGAATGGGGAAGGTGGCTGGTGCTCCAGGGAGGAGTCACAGCAGCTGAGCTGCTCTGGTGGGCCCCCCACCGGGGAGGCCCCCACAGTGTACAGGCTCTGCCTGATAGCCCCTCACCCGCCACACAGTGAGCACGGTATGACTGCCGCCACTTGCTTGGTGAATTATTCAGAAGAACTGTTATTGCCGTGTTTCATTGTTCCTTCGGTCTTTTCCGAAAGCCTTCCACATGATGGAAGCCCCCTCCCTGAGTCTCAATAACTTCAATAACTGACAGAGCAGAAGGAACCCTCTGGAAAGCAGACGGGCTTTAATTACTGCCTGCATCTCCCGGATATTGCACTTATAACTCATGGAACTGATTGTCCTGGTGCCTGCAAACACTGCAGCCTGAGAGGCCAAGCCTTAGGAGTAGGAAGGGGAACACTAGTCGTCTGTCCATGTCACCCCGCCCCCGCCCCCATGCGCCCCTGCCCCGGCAGCCTTCTCTCTGGGTAGCAGGCACTGTCAGTGCCTGAGCCCCAGTCTGCCCAGAACCTTCGCTTAGAAGTTGCCTCGCAGCTTTTCATGCTGTTCCCAAGGTCTGTGGTCCAGGAAAGCAACACAGCCTCCCGACACGAGTGCTAGGGCTTGTATCCATCTGTACAACCCTCCCCCCCCGCCGCCCCCCCCCCCACCGCCGCCAAGGAGCTAGAAAAGAGATAACAGAGATGTTGGCATCTTTCCTCAGGCCTGAGTCTCCTGACAGGTGATCAGGGCATCTTTCCCTCCCAACTAAGGAGAATTAGACCCTAGCAAGTAGCCTCTTTGGATCTTAGAAGTAGGGCTGACATCCTCTAACCTGGCCTCTTGTCATTTAAGTTAAGGGGTCCATCCCTTCCCAAGGCTCCAGCATGCCCTCAACACCAGATGATCTGATTTTTCGGCTCGTCGGGATCCACCCACTATGTTAGCAGGGCAGCAAGCGGTGGGAGTAGACCGGAGCTCCCTCCCTCCCCACACACAAGTCACCTCAGGTAGATGCTGCCCTCCGCGGCCTGCATCTTTAAAAAGACTACGTAATAACTGTGTTTTCATTGCCATTCTGGAACAGTACGTCCTGTAGGATAAAGAAACAGCCTTTTATTTTGAGGCTTAATTTGCAGACAGTCTTCTGGAAACTAGCTCAGGGAAGCCCCCGAGAAGTGCACAGAGAATGAGAATAGGTAGGATATTAACTACCTCTGAGACCGGCCCGTGGGTAGCATCTGATGACATCAAGAAGGGAACTCTCTCCACCAGCAGCTACCAGCTGCCTCCCGAAGCCCTTCCCTTAAGAGATGGAAAATTCCTCCTCCCTTCCCAGTGTCCATGGTGGCCCCCAGCCATTTCCCATGATTCCCAGTGCAGCTGAAGAGCTAGTCTCTCCCTTTCATCCCTGTGTCAGCCTGAGGACAGGGCGCCCAGGGTCCCCTACACCACCCAAGCTTCAAGTGCCCTCTCAGGTGTCTTCACATGGTACCACAGCAGCCACCTGGGGACTGCCATTCGGGCCCACGAGAGTTAACAGGATCTGCTTCAGCTGGCTTCCAGTCCTCAGCCCCCTCCCCCTGCTCCTCTGAAAGGTGACATGGGAGAGTGTCAGGGGCCCTGGCTCTAAAAGCTCGAATTCTTGTCTCTGCACCGGTGCGTGTCCCAGCGCTGGCTTGGGAGGGACAAGAGTCACAATGTGGCAGGGACCGGAAGGCATGAGGGGCCAGGTTGAGAAGAGGGCTCCGTGGTTAAAGTGAGGACCCGAGGGAAGACAGCTGGTGCCAGTGTGAAAACCAGTCTCGGAGGCATGCACATCCAATCCCAGCACAGGCCAGGATTGGGCGGGCTGAGGAGCAGAAGGACCCCAGAGGCTCATGGCCAGCTGTCTAGCGAAAATGGTGAACTCCAGATTCAGCAAGAGACCCTGCTGGAGACGTGTGACTGTTACAGGAGCATGTCGTTGGCTTGCGCATGTTCACATACAAGTGGGTGCACCCTCACATGTATATATTGTACACGCCTAAGAAAAGAAAAACGTGCCACTTTGATTCTGTGTCACAGTGCCAAGGAGCCAGGGTCCCAGTGAAGCAATAGGATTGCATGTGACTGAGTTCTGTCCCAGGCCGGCTCTACCCCAGGCCCGCTCTGGCCCAGGCTGCTGTGGCCCAGGCTGCTGTGGCCCTCCTCTGCAGTCCCTGGCCCTGCAGCTCTTGTAGCCTGCCATTCTGCCCCATGCCCTGGTTCTTCACCTAGCGCCATCCCTCCTCCCACAGGCCATCACGGGTCAGCGGAGGCTCCCCGAGAGCCTAAAGTTGGCAGCATCCGCCTCTTCAGGTGGGCAGATGCTGCAGGGTCACGGGTATCAACAGGCACCGGCCCAACAGATCCAGGGCGCAGATGGCAGAGCGAAGCTTAGTCTGCTGGAGACTCAGCCACAAACTGGCCATGTCGAGCAAGCAGGGGGGCTTGGGGCAGGACAGGGTGACCCCACTCTGCTCTCAGCAGAAGTTGTGAGGTCTCTCTCTGGGGCAGTTGACTGGGAAGAGAGATGTAGCCGAGTCACAACCGACAGGTCCCCTGCATCTTCCCCAGCCTCCCTCCAGATACATTCCTGAAGGAGAGATAGGAGCTCAGAGTGGGGCTGCCTGCCAGCCTCTTCCTAGAGGAGCAGGCCATCCTGCCAGCTTACGTTAGGGGTTCCTCCTAATGCAAGAGCCCTCCCCCCACTCCTCTGATTGTAGCATTGCCCTATCTGTGACATCTTCCTAACATATTGAAGGCATATATGTGTCCTCTTCATGAGGGTGTGAGACCCCGCAGCCAAGCTCTGAGAGCTCTGTCTCAGCTCAGCTCACCTTGGCTTGGGGAGGCTCATTCGTTGTTGGATTCCAGGACGTTGTTTTGTTTTGTCATTAGGGGCTCTTGTAGTCTCAGCTGTCTTTGAACTCACCATGCTACCAAATCTGGTCTTAAGTCCTCATCTCCTGCCTCCACCTCCCCCGTGCTGGGATTGCAGGAGTGCTCCATCACACCTGACATGGGCATGGAGTGTTACCAGTGGCTTCTGTGGCTCTGGCCTAGACCTCCCAGTCACACCATCAAGTTGATGCTGTCATCCCAAAGAGCGACTTCCTCAGGCTCCCCGGACCGAGGCAGGCATCCTGGCTCAGTAGGCTATCCTCAGGTCCCCTTACAGACTCGGGACAGAGTGCTCTGTTTGCAGGGCAGCCCTGGCTGTGCTGCACAGCTTGGGAAGCACCAGCTTTCCAACCCTGCAGCCTGACCTCTGCCTGGAGCTGGGCTGCACTGGTCTGCGCCCGCCTCCCCCTGTTGATTTTGAGGCTGCCGCTTGTTCTCAGGGAGCAGAGTGGATTTTCCTAATACCTCAAGTAAGGTTGGAAGCGAGCCTCTTCCCAAGGACATTGCCTTCTGCTGCCAAAGTTGCTTTGTTCTTTCAACATCAGCCATTGTGCCCTGGGGCTGTCTAGCATCTGCTAATAAGTGGGTCACTGCTTGAATATTCATCCTTACCCATTCTGGGGCAGGAGGTGGCCTAGAGGCCTTCAGGACCAGTGAGAAAGGGACATTAACAAGAAGCGTAAGTCTTGGGAGCAGCAGCAGCAATGTCACAGGACCTGGCTGTTCTCCAGGTCACCAAGCTGTGCCTCCAGGCTGTCACACACTCAGGCTGAGCAAAACTGCAGAGAA